TGACCTTGACCCTGACCTATGCTTGACTGACCCCTACATGGAGCTGACACTCTTGTAGGCCTTATATGATGGATTGTGCACCATTTTGACAGCGTTTATGACGAGAGGCGCCCATTGCGAAGTCCTGAAATCAATGCTACTGAAAGCCCGATTTCAGGTGTTTTACCTGACCTTGACCCGACCTGTGACCTCAAAGTTCAACTTTAAAGTACTCATCTGAAGCGTCTTGTCGCGTTCTTTCGTTTGCCGCCTCGTGCGTTTCGCTGCGCCTATTGGTTCTCGAGTTATCGGCTGGGGGCGTTTAACGCCCCCCCCCCCCAGCAAACGGTGGGTGGCGAAATACCCCAGCAACTGCCGGGTTAACCCGCGCCCCGTAGGGGGGGGGGGGCCGAAACTGCCCCCTGTCCTTTTCGGTCGATATCTCCTAAACGGCTGGAGATATCGCCACTAAACTTTCAGGACCCCTCCGGGCATCAATTTTACACATTGTGACCAAAAAATTTTCCACAGGCTATAATAGGTTGGCCACAAATGACGTCAGAATGACGTCATGTTCTGTCATTTTCGACCAAAAAAAGACCTTCGCGAGAAGACCTGTTAGGCTTACAGCTTTGAAGATACAGAAAAATGATCAAGATATAAAAGGTGTTAAGTTAACAGGACTGCTACAAAACTGCTATCTCGGATTTTTGAAATTTTTGAGTTTTGACCCTCAAAAATCAAAAAAGCATTTTTTTGGATATATTAGCCAAAAAATCCAAAACGTTTTTTGAGTTTCGAAAAACTGGAATATATGTGATAGTACCTACCGTCTTCTATCTACATACCAAATTTCAGATTGATACCTCATTTTTTGGCCAAGTTATAGCGAAAAACAATTCAAAAATTATGACGTCAAATTTTCAAACTCAATTTCTGGCAATTCTAGACCTCGTAGAGCAAAACAAAGACCACCATTAGACTCCTCGTGACGAGCTGCATCGAATCGATACCCATTTTATGCAAAAATATCAACTTTGAAGTTTGACCTAATATGACCTGACCTTGACCTGACCTTCACCAAAACGTGACTTAGGCTAGCCCCAAAGGCTGCCTAACCCACATAATCGCATTTGTCATGTAAAATGGACCAAAAACATTTATCACACGACACTTTCATATTGTGACCCCCGGTGACCTGACCTCGCTGTGACCTGACCTGGTATCAGTGACCTCAGATAGCAAAGTATGTGTTTGACGAACAATGTACAATCGATGGTTTTCAATGAATTACCAATTTACTCGATTTCACAACACATTTCTTGAAATGCCTGTGAACGGTGAAAATCTGACCTTTGACCTGACCTGTGACGTCATCGGTTTGACCTAGGTCAATGAAATTTGGTCACAAGTTAGTTCCCGGGTGGGGCTATCGAGCGCCGTTTGAATTTTGAAAATCGGCCGGTAACTTTCCGAGATCTTAGGGGGAGGGCCGAAACGCCCCCCCCCCCTACGGGTGGTAGGGTCCGCCGGTGGCCCTACGGGGCGCGGGTTAACGCTGTTGGCGCTTTTGGTTTCCATGGAGGCGTCAACAAGCCTAACCTACAACAGTACCGAAGGTTGACCTTAGCTCGCGGAATGCGCTGGCGGCGGCTGGCAGCGCGACCGTGAAACACCGCCCTGGAAGGTCAAACCAATGACCAAGGACCTCAAAATCGGGTATCATCGGCTTCCTCTCGTCACTCACGGGCAACACTGACCACGTTTCCATGGGCTCACTGATCCGGATCAGTAAAAATGGATTAGCTAAATCCAGTATAGTTAGTCAATATATGAAAATGAAAATAAGGGATTAACTGATTATATAAGCCTAATCCATATCGAATGATATCATGTAGCGAAGAGTTCGAGAAACATAATACGATTTAAATTTGCTGATCCGGATCAGTGATGCCCATGGAAACGGGGTCACTGTTGTTTTTTCCATGATCTCTAGCTTGATCAGGGGCTGAACGGCAGGGGGTCCAAGTTCCAACTGACACCTCCCAGCCCGCGAAGGCTGCGCCAAGCACCGACCCGGAGCGAGCTAACTGGTCGACAAAAGCAATTTGTAGTGTTTTCAAAGCAATATAAAGGCACGGGTCGGGTGCATAGGCGGCGGAACGGGGAGGGCACCGGGGCACCGTGCCCCCTTTGATTTCGGCATTTTAACCCTCGCCGGCCGAGGGGGGGGGGGGGTGCCGCCCCCCCATAGGTTTTTTTTCGCGATAGCTCCGAACACGCTGACGATAGAGAGCTGAAACTTAGCATACCTGACCTTTGATCCAAGCCGCATCTTTTGACACCAACTACATTTTTGGGTCAGGTCAGGTCACTGACCTATGACGTCATAAGTGAACCTCTGCACGGTCTTCAGATGTCGCAACTTCGCAACGCCCTCACTGCCAGAGGAGATGTCACAGGGAAATGAAACTTGCAGGATCTAGTATCCATTATGAGTCTCATAACTTGTATAGGTATCTCGGATTTTCCCTAAAGGTCATATGAGGTCAGGTCATTTTTGTGACCTCACCATTATAAGTCAATGGGGAAAAATGAAAACTGCTATTCTGGCGCCGGGAACGATCTCCAACTATCTCAAGCACACATAATCGTGATTTGATGCACTCCTTGCAAGGTTAGATGCGTCACTTTTGCAATGTTGACCTTGCGTGACGTCATTTATGACGTCATCAAGGTCATATTAGTTTTTTTGTCAATAACTCCCGATCAAATTGAGCTAGCGAGTCGAGAAAGCCACCAATGGACTCAGGAAGACCTGCCGAATCGAATGGTATGCGACATGACCTCTTTCGACCAACTTCGTGACCTGGGGGTGCTGACCTGACCTTGACCCGAGGTCAACACCCCAAGTTGACCTGACCCGGACAAAAAGTATATCATTCGACGCGCCTGAGCGAGGCGAACACGATGCTGCCAAAATCGCGGCTCTGCGGCCGTTTTTTGCGAAGTTATTCACCAAAAAACGAACCGTACCTTGGGGCACTTGACCTGACCTCAGAGGTCACCGGTTGACCTAGGACCTTAAAATCGGGTACCAATCTCTGCGTCTCGTAACGGCGCACACGCTCGTTTTTTCCGCGACGCGCTAGCTCCACCAGGGGCGAAACGGCGAGGGGGGTCGTACCCGTCCCCCCCCCTCGGCCGGCGCGTATGTAGAAAACCAATAGGTCCGGCGAGGGTTAACATTAGCCCTATGGGCGTTGCATGGAAAGAATGGGACCAAAAGTCGGCAATGCCCCCCCCCCTCCCCTTAGTTGAAGGTGTTCCGCCGCTACTGGTCGGGTGGGCTACCATTTTTTTTTTGTTGTTGAAAAAAATTATCGTTTCAGGGCTGTGACGAAAAATAAGTGGCCTAAATCCGATGAGAGAACAGGATTTGGGGATACCCTAGGTTTGGTTCCTTGCATGAGTTGCCCCCCCCCCCAACGCAAGTCTGGATCCGCAAGTGGTCCAGCTGCAGTCCAGCCGTACCTGCAGTCCAGCAGCAGTCCAGCCGTACCTGCAGTCCAGCAGCAGTCCAGCCGTACCTGCAGTCCAGCAGCAGTCCAGCCGTACCTGCAGTCCAGCAGCAGTCCAGCCGTACCTGCAGTCCAGCAGCAGTCCAGCCGTACCTGCAGTCCAGCAGCAGTCCAGCCGTACCTGCAGTCCAGCAGCAGTCCAGCTGTACCTGGAGTCCAGCCGTACCTGCAGTCCAGCAGCAGTCCAGCCGTACCTGCAGTCCAGCAGCAGTCCAGCCGTACCTGCAGTCCAGCAGCAGTCCGGCCGTACCTGCAGTCCAGCCGTACCTGCAGTCCAGCCGTACCTGCAGTCCAGCCGTACCTGCAGTCCAGCAGCAGTCCAGCCGCACCTGCAGTCCAGCAGCAGTCCAGCCGTACCTGAAGTCCAGCAGCAGTCCAGCCGTACCTGCAGTCCAGCAGCAGTCCAGCCGTACCTGCAGTCCGGCCGTACCTGCAGTCCAGCCGTACCTGCAGTCCAGCCGTACCTGCAGTCCAGCAGCAGTCCGGCCGTACCTGCAGTCCAGCAGCAGTCCAGCCGTACCTGCAGTCCAGCAGCAGTCCAGCCGTACCTGCAGTCCAGCAGCAGTCCAGCCGTACCTGCAGTCCAGCAGCAGTCCAGCCGTACCTGCAGTCCAGCAGCAGTCCAGCCGTACCTGCAGTCCAGCAGCAGTCCAGCCGTACCTGCAGTCCAGCAGCAGTCCAGCTGTACCTGGAGTCCAGCCGTACCTGCAGTCCAGCAGCAGTCCAGCCGTACCTGCAGTCCAGCAGCAGTCCAGCCGTACCTGCAGTCCAGCAGCAGTCCGGCCGTACCTGCAGTCCAGCCGTACCTGCAGTCCAGCCGTACCTGCAGTCCAGCCGTACCTGCAGTCCAGCAGCAGTCCAGCCGCACCTGCAGTCCAGCAGCAGTCCAGCCGTACCTGAAGTCCAGCAGCAGTCCAGCCGTACCTGCAGTCCAGCAGCAGTCCAGCCGTACCTGCAGTCCAGCAGCAGTCCAGCCGTACCTGCAGTCCGGCCGTACCTGCAGTCCAGCCGTACCTGCAGTCCAGCCGTACCTGCAGTCCAGCAGCAGTCCGGCCGTACCTGCAGTCCAGCAGCAGTCCAGCCGTACCTGCAGTCCAGCAGCAGTCCAGCAGCAGTCCAGCCGTACCTGAAGTCCAGCAGCAGTCCAGCCGTACCTGCAGTCCAGCAGCAGTCCAGCCGTACCTGCAGTCCAGCAGCAGTCCAGCCGTACCTGCAGTCCGGCCGTACCTGCAGTCCAGCCGTACCTGCAGTCCAGCCGTACCTGCAGTCCAGCAGCAGTCCAGCCGTACCTGCAGTCCAGCAGCAGTCCAGCCGTACCTGCAGTCCAGCAGCAGTCCAGCCGTACCTGCAGTCCAGCAGCAGTCCAGCCGTACCTGCAGTCCAGCAGCAGTCCGGCCGTACCTGCAGTCCAGCAGCAGTCCAGCAGCAGTCCGGCCGTACCTGCAGTCCAGCAGCAGCAGGTACTCGGGGTTGCAGATGTACGGCGCGTAAAAGCCGCTGTAGTAGAGGTTGTGGAACAGCCGCGCCGAGATGAAGCCGTCCGTCTCGCCGTCCGGCTCCAGCGGCTGTGGCGTCCGCTTCAGCTTGTACAGGTCGGACAGCGCGGCTGCAACAACACCGACCCGGGTTCAATTCCCGCCGCGGGAACTTTTCGCCGGGAGGGACGCTATCCCCGGATAACATAGTTACATGGTTCGAACAACATTTTCTGCTCTAGTACCAGGGTAGAAAGCCAAAGAAGTAATATTTTTCTGCATTTTCCACGTAACATTTTTACAAAATATTTCCTTATTCATGTGCAGTCGTACTCTACGATGACAGCAATTATATTCCAATATGCACAGGGCTGTTCACGAAAAACTAACACATTTCAAAACAACTTTTTGGCCAAGTGAGAGCTCATAGACACTTCATTTGCATGTTTTTTGAAAGGCTGTTGAAAAAAAGTTTTCTGTGGGCATAACTTGCTTAACCCGTGCCGCGCTGAGGGTGGGTGGGGGGGTGGGGGTTAAGCGGCTCAGATTTTTCACGAATTTCTCAAAAACGGCGGTGCTCCGTGCCGCCGTTTTTGGTACAGATGTTTATCTTTATACATATTTCCCATGCATGTTGTGAAAATTTCAGACCCGGGTCCTTCAAGGTAAGGTAACCAGGTCATTTTAAGTGACCGTCGCCTTGCCCTAGAAAAAGGTCAAAGGCTCGCTATAGCTACACTGACTGAACGATTATTTTGAAACTTTCAGCCATTGATGAGAATATTAGATGATATTAGTATGTATATAATGTTTATCTCATATTTTTAACATATGTGACCTAAGGTCAGGTCAATTTTGCGACACCTTCATTGTAAGTCAATGGGATAAAACTGAAATGCGCCTCTTTTGGACGAATGTCGTTCAAAACCCTCTCAAACATCGGTCCATACGTAAACATGACACACTGAATCGGAATAATGCACCTGTGACCCCTCTGTGTGCCCCTGAGATCGTTTCAGGTCATGAACAGTCACCATCAGTTTTTTTTTGCAATAACTTTTGATAGAGACGTGCTAGAGCGGTGAAAACACCTCAGATGTGTTCAGCTCGACGATACGGATCGACTGCTTTGCAACATGACCTTTTCCGGTCAGGTCATGACCTAGTCCTGAGGTCAAATTTTAAAAATGACCCTTTAACCCTCGCCGGCACAGGGGGGGGGGGGGGTTGATGCAACCCCCCTAAGTTTTTTCGCGAATAACTCGCGTAAAAAGCGGCCGATCGCGACGAAACTTTCAGTACCCTCGCATTGATCAATTGTACACGTTCCCTGAAAATTTCATGACCCTGATCCCAATGACCTTTGACCTGTGACCTCTTTTCCGTGACCATGTTTGGCCGGAATCGCGATTCGGCGTATGTCGGCTCGCATTAGCCGCGCGTTTGCAAGCTTTTCGTGGTTTCAAACGTTCAAACATGTGATTTGATGTTGCTGCCATACATTAGGGTGGGTGTCAAGGTCACCTGAAGGTCAGGTCAGGTCATTGACCTTTGGTGACCTCGGGTGACCTCGGCTCACTTTTTCGAGTTTTACATATTTCTAGGCTAGTTTTTGGAGCTGAATTCGAATTTAGCAACCATTTGAACATTTACGAAGTAGTTTTGGTGCCTTCGTAACATGTTACGAAGCTGCCAGAGGCGGTTGACACGTATTACGAATACCCGTCACAACCCCTACCGGTTGACCTGACCTGACCCGACCTGGTCTAAAAGCTTAAAAACATCATCTCTGATCGAAACTAACACGATATTCGTGATCAGCACCCCGGAAAACCACATAGCAGCCACACTTTACGACTTTCTAACAGGTCCCGATTTTCCCGGTTTTCGGGTCATTGACCTGACCTGGAAGGTCACCCGATGACCTAGGACCTTAAAATTGGGTATCATCGGCTTCCTCTCGTGACGGGCAACACGCTCGTTTTTTCCGCGAAGCTCTAGCTCGATCAGGGGCCAAACGCGAGGGGGGTCCGTACCAACTCCCCCCCCCTTGTGCCGTCGAAGGACGCAAAATGGCCTGTGCCGGCGAGGGTTAAGGTCAAATTATAGTTCATCCGATGCGTCTCGACGAGAGGAACACGATGCTGGCAAAATAAATGTCGTCGACGGACGCCGCCCGCAGGTACCTGATTCTCGGCGGGACGCTCCTCCTCCCTCAAGACGTGGCTCGTCTGGTCCGTGCGTGGCTCAACGGAAACGGACCGCCGCCCACCAGCCGCAGGCTCCGGTTCAGGGCGGCGGTTCTCAGCGTCCTCCGGTGTCGTCCGTCCCTGACTCGGTCCGCCGTCATTGTAGCCCGATCCTGTGGTCTCCGTCGTCGGTCCTGCGGTCTCCATCGCCGGTCCTGCAGACTCCACTGTCGGTATCTCCGTCTGGGCTGGATCTGCCGCTCCGTCATCGTCCCGGTATTGTGACAGGCGCTGTGTCTGGCTGCCCGCCGGCTCCCTTGACCACTCCGCTTCCCGTGATCTGGTGTTTCCAGTGGCGCCGGCGCGCTAGTTCTGGTGCTCTGGGGAGCCGTTCTGGTCTCGAGGCTCCGACATGATTTGGATCAGTCGCTCCAGCGCAGCCGGAGAACAGATCGGCCGAGGACGGTCGCCCCGTGCTACCACCACGAATGAGATACCTTCTCGCGTGAAGACGGTGCTGATTTGGCGCCTTCTTTTCAGCTGTGTCAGCTCTTGAAAGATGCTCTGCCTGAGTGGAGAGAGGCATTCATTGCGCGCTTTGCGAATGCACTTTTCCGCGGCGCTATATATAGCTCTATTGGTTCCCGAGTTAGCCTTTGGCATTTTCCAAAATTGTTGAAATGGACTAAATTTGACCTTTGATGACCTCTGGCGACCTAACTTTTGACCTGAGCTCAAAAATGACCGAGGTGTTTCCAACATTATTTTGAACGTTCTTTCGAATGCCGCTTACCGCGTGTCGCTACGTGGCCCAGGAGCCGAGTTAGACGTGTGGGGGGGGGGGGGGGGGTTCAGACACCCTCCGGTCCGGCGCGGAAGTCGCGGAGCACCGGCTCAGGTTAATAACTGAAAGTGGGTCGTGTGATGCATGTTTTATGATATATTTCGGAAGCCAATTTTATAGGAAAATAGTCACCTGTCCCCTGAATGTATGACATTTCTTTAATCATAGTAACCCTCGCCCGGCGAGGTATGTTGATGCAACCCCCCTTACGTTTTTCACAAATAACATAAAAACGGCGGCGCTACTGCCAAATTTGGCATAACCTCTGGGGCAGCCTTTTGGCCCATATCCTGAAAATTTCAGTTCTCAGTCATTTCAGGACGGGTCATCAGGTCACAAAAACCGGTACAAGGTCAGGGGAACTTGGACTAGTTTAGCGGCAACTGAATGCCAGAGTTTTTGTTGATAGTGTGAGTGCTATGGCACGTAGCGCTACCAAATTTCAGACATGACTTGGGGTGTCTATTTGCCACTTGACCTTAGAGTTTTAAGTTCCAGTGACCTAAGGTCAGCTCAAAAGGTCACAAAAACGTTACATTTTGAATTAAGATGTTTAGTCGTAAAAATTTATCGTACAGATCATGGTAAGTCTGTCTTGTAACCTAACAAAGTCTACTATTAGAGACATAACAATACCTGCATTACAGAAAGTGACACCCGTGGAGTCTTGCATATTCCACCTCTAGCCCGTTCGCCCAATTGCGCCCACTGGCACAATTTTCCCAGCGAATCGATGGGCCCGCCGCCGCCCACGGTTCGTCGGAAGGTCATCTCAGGCTCCAAAGAAACGATATATGCCATTCGAAAGCTGACGGTGAGCTGAATAAAAAAATGTAGTTTTTATCAAAATCGATCGATGACCTGTTTTGAAAATCGCGTTTTTGTAAAAAAAAACTTTATGATTTTTTTTATATAACGGGCTGTCCCGGGCATTCTTAAAAAAACACAAACATGTTTTTCCAGTTGCAGTGAAAGCTGAACGCCAAACGAGCAATATTTAGCGAAGCAGTAGGCATTTACAAACATTAACCCTCGCCGGCACAGGGGGTTGATGCAACCCCCCTAAGGTTTTTCGCGAATAACTCGCGTAAAAAGCGGCCGATCGCGACGAAACTTTCAGTATCCTCGCATTCCCACTCTAAAAATTTCATGACCCTGACCCAAATGACCTTTGACCTGTGACCTCTTTTCCGAGACCATGTTTGGCCGGAATCGCGATTCGGCGTATGTCGGCTCGCATTAGCCGCGCGTTTGCAAGCTTTTCGTGGTTTCAGACGTTCAAACATGTGATTTGATGTTGCTCCCATACATAAGGCTGGGTGTCAAGGTCACCTGAAGGTCAGGTCAGGTCATTGACCTGTGGTGACCTCGGGTGACCTTGGCTCACTTTTTCGAGTTTTACATGTTTCAAGGCTAGTTTTTGGAGCTAAATTCGAATTTAGCAACCATTTGAACATTTACGAAGTAGTTTTGGTGCCTTCGTAACATGTTACGAAGCTGTCAGAGGCGGTTGACAAGTATTACAAATACCCGTCACAACCCCTACCGGTTGACCTGACCTGACCTGACCCGATCTGGTCTAAATGCTTAAAGACATCATCTCTGATCAAAATTAACACGATATTCGTGATCAGCACCCCGGAAAACCACATAGCAGCCACACTTTACGACTTTCTAACAGGTCCCGATTTTCCCGGTTTTCGGGTCATTGACCTGACCTGGAAGGTCACCCGATGACCTTAAAATTGACGATGACCTTAAAATTGGGTATCATCGGCTTCCTCTCCTGACGGGCAACACGCTCGTTTTTTTCCGCGAAGCTCTAGCTCGATCAGGGGCCAAACGCGATGGGGGGGGGGGGGGTCGTACCCCCCTTGTGCCGTCGAAGGACGCAAAATGGCCTGTGCCGGCGAGGGTTAACCCGCATCCCCTTTGGCTCTGCCGAGCAACGCGCCCTGTTGGAGGGGGGGGGCAATTTGCCCCCCCCTAAGATCTCGAGAACCACGCAACCTAGCAACAAGCGGCAAACGGTGTTGGATAGGATAGCCCTATCAGGGAACTACCTTGTGACCCAATTTTATTGACCTAGGTCAAACCG